ATGTGCAGCGTCCGTGCATGAATGGAGTTGGAGTTAGTTCTCCGAGGCTTGCTTGGGGGCTTGCTGGGACTACAAGCGGCACCACCACGGTGTCAATGGCACGAACCTACGTGAATCATGTAAACACATACCTTGGCACCTTGACGAGCATCACCGAGGTCGGTCGGACCATTGTCACCTTCGTTCTGGAAGGTGCCCTGGTGGGAGCGGCCAGGCTTTTCTTTTTGGTCAGGCTTACTCTCGGCCTCCTCGGTCTGGCCGGGGGCGCCGCTGGCGTAAGTCGTGTCGTGATCCTCGGAGCGCTGTGCGTCCTCCGGGAGGTTAGACTTCTGCTCAGCGTGCATGTAACAAGAGAACCGCGTTAGGATGTACCAGAGCGGTGAACGAGATGTACGCACGAAAGCTTGCTTCATGGATGCGTTAACCTCTTCGGCAGACGCGGTCGTGCCCTCCGAGTCGGTTAAGGCCGGGGCGCCGTGGACCTTGCCATCGTCCGAGGCAGGAGAGCTGCCCTGTAGAGTACGAGTGAGCCCACAGGGCAGAGAGAATTGGAGGAACTGACTCACGGCTTCTTCGGCGTCTTGGGAGTCTTTGGGCGAGTCGGACGCCTGTATGGAGCATCAATCATGCATACAGTTACGTGGCGTACAAACAGAATATTACGCACTACAGCTTGGGCGACAGAGTTCTCGACTTCGGAAGAGGAGGGAACGGACTCTTCCTCCTTCGGGGCGGACTCGGAGTCGGAGGAATCGCCAGGAATCGTACTGATACCAGGCTTCGCATGATGGTGTTCAGCGGCGTGGGCCTTTCCCTTAGCAGGAGAAGAGAGAAGGTACGCAATCTGGGATGTTCGTCTATGTCAGCATGTGCGTGGTATGCATCCAGGCATAGTGTATAGAAAGTGACATTCACCATGGGACCGAAGACTACTGCAGAGCCGATCTGCACACACACACGCGCATATACGCGTCAGGAGTTTGCAATGGACAGTTTTCACGCAGGACGCACCATCCAGGGCATGTCGCTGCTCTGCTTCGTGGCATGTCCCGCGCCGGTGCTGGCAAACCTGCGGCCGGAGGAGGTGGATGCGCGTGCGACGGGGCGCGCCGCAAAACGAGCGAGAACGTGGCGAGCGAGATGAGACGAGATCATCGTCAAACAGTGAAGGAGACGGTGGGTGCAGTAGAAAGAGAGAATGGCCGGTGGGAGAGACTCAGACAAATCCCCTCTCTCCAGCGCTTTTGCTCGATGACGTCGGCGTCGGCAACCAGTATTGTCAGCGTGACCTCTTCAAGCAAACCCACCATGTCCGCACCCACCACCTCCGCTGCCCAGGCTGTGGGCGAATATCTTCAGTCACCGGATGATCTTGCCAAAGTTGCCGCATTCCGCAAGAAGCTCGAGAAGGAGAAAGCCTCTATCGACGCGCGACTGCGAAGCGGGGTCAAGGAGCAGCTCGACACGACGAGAGACGGTCTGAGGAAGCTGTTTGGGACGAGGAACAATGTTCAGACGATCAAGGACGAAATGGAGACAGTGGATAGAGTGTGCAACGACCCCACCCACGTCGTCTCCACCTTTGACCAAATCAGCAGAGTGCGTATCAGTCTCCCTGTCCTCGGACGGAGATGTCGAGTGTCTCTCGAACTTTTTGCTGGGCATAACAGGTCTCCATGGTCCACCGGAACTTCGAACAGACAGAAGAGATGGTGAACAATCTCCTTGAGATGAACTCCAAGCTCGAGATGATCGAGCAAATGCTCCTCGAAGACAGCAACGACATCCTCGGACCCGCGTTTAATCTCCTCCGCATACACTTTGCTCTCAACCGTCTCGAGGCCTTCCGGAACCAGACCATGCACCAGGCGAAGAAGTCCTCGGCCGATATCCGGAACACGCTTACTCGATGGTTCGAACGTTTGAATCGCCTCCTTGAAGCATTCGACGAGTACATTCTCGAGTTGGCGAGAAACATCCTTCCCATCGTACGGTCAGGCAATCCGGACGTCATCGTACGTTTGATGAAAGTCGTCGAGATGGAAGCCCGGGAGGACGAGAAGGTGAGTTTTGCGCGCATTTATGCAGATCACCATGTGCATATCCATGCGCTATTATCATTCACATGCTGCTGCTGGCGAAACGCGAGCCCATGTCGGTACATGCACGGGGTCCGTTTACGGCCCCGCCGCCCTCCCCGCCAGATTTCTCGAGCACCTCCAGCTCCTACCTTGGCAACCGTCGGTCCCACAATCGCGCCGCGCCTGCACGTGATGCAGTATCCATACCTGCCCTCCATCAAGCTCCTCTATTCCTCGGGCTACAGATACGCTCCAGGTCGACGCGAGATTGAGATGCTGATGCTATCTGCGTCTGTAGGCCATAGCTATCAAGCTTGTCAAAAAAGCTGGCAAGATGGACGCTGCCTCCAAGTTCCGGTCGATGCAAGCAAACGCTCACGTTATCAAACATTACCGGTCTAAAGTCATCAAGTGCATCACAGACTCCATCCAAGCCAAATTCGATGAGGTCTACACCGCGAACGAAAACAATCCTGCTGGCTTCCTTGACGACCTCGTTTTCATATACAAGGACCTCATCCGCATCGAGAGCGACGTCGTTCCTTGTTTTCCACCGTCATACGAGATCTGGTCGACCTTCGTGCGCGAGTACCACAAGGCGCTCAACAACACACTCACGCGGCTCGTCAAGTCCGAGCCCGAAGCCAGCGCCCTCCTGACGCTGCATGCATGGATCAAAGAGTACAAGAAGAGTATGCGCGAGCTCAACGTCCCACCCGAGCTCCTCGAGCCGCCACTGCTCGAGGGCAAGGAGCAGAGCCTGATCGAGGACTATCTCCAGCTCATCATCAAGAAGCTCGACGAATGGTCTGAGAACCTGATGCGCACGGAGGTTGCCGCATTCACCGCACGCGAAGAACCCCCCGAGCTCACCGCAGACAACCTGTACACCAACCCGGGTACGATCATCTTCCTCGACATGGTCAACCAGCAGATCGACCTTGCGCTCGACTCGAATCAGGGTCTCGTCCTCTCACGCGCCGTCGAGGAAGTCAACCGCGTGATGCGCTCGATCCAGGACCGGTGGGTGAAGCTCATCGACACCGAGTTCAAGAAGTACTCCGACAAGCCGGACGAGGTCCCCGGCGGGCTCGTCGAGTACTGCATCGCGCTCGCGAACGATCAGATCAAGTCCGCCGACTTCACGGAAGCGCTCTCCGCGCGGATCGAGCCGCTCGTGTCGGACAAGTACCGGGCCACGGTTCACGACCGGCTGAACGACGCGCTCGATGGGTACTTGGACGTCGCGAAGAAGTACACGCAGACGCTGATCAGCATCATCTTCCACGACCTCAAGCCGGCGACGAAGCAGCTGTTCGGGCCGACGTGGTACGAGGGCACGCACTCACAGATTGTTGAGACGATGCGGGACTACATGTCAGACTACCAGGTGTACCTGAACGAGTCGCTGTTTGAGGTGCTTGTCGAGGACCTGCTCGACGCGTATCTGGTCATGTACCTCACCGCGCTTGTGAACGGGCCGAAGCTGAACATGCCCGCGGCGACGGAGCGCATCCGCCAGGACATCAACGACGCGTACCAATTCTTCGGGACGTACAAAAAGATGAAGGAGCTCGAGCCGCAGATGGAGGTCCTCGACCAGGTGCTCTCCATGCTCGAGGCGTCGAAGAGTCTTGTGTTCCTGTCGTACTGGTCGTTCGCGAAGGTGCACGGGCCGTGCATCCAGTTCGTCGAGGCTCTGATGAAGGCGCGGAGCGACATGGACCGCTCGGGTGTCAGCGAGGTCATGGACAGCATCAAACGGAAAGTGAAAGACGAGGGTCTGACAGATCGTGAGTCAAATCGCTTTCTATCCGTGGCTGCCGGGATTGCTGACGATCCCTGATTTGATCTTGTAGCACCAGAACCAACAATCATGAAGAAGATCGTCATTCAGGGGGCGTTGTCCCGATTCCTCGTACGCACATAAAACCACAGCCACCCGTACGACCCCCCTCTATTTATTCCAGTACGCGCCGCGCCTCCCCTTTCATCCAAAACTCACACAAGCAACTCCATGTCCCCAAGGCGAGTACCTTCGGGGTATAACGGGTGTTGCTCTCACCCCATTCGCGCATGTGGTTGCGGATCGCTTCCTCCTGACTCCTTAATCCTGCCCGCCCATGTTCCCTAGCGGCCCCAGGTAGTCGCCGGCGCCAGACGAGCGACCTGCGACCTGCGTACGTGCGCACGTACGTAGTGCTTTGGGTCGCACTATCGTGAGCTAGGCTCTCCGTCCCCTTCCGCGCCACTCATCTGCAGCAACCCACTCCCCAACGACGACAGGTCCCGATGGTCGCGAGACTCGGTTTTGCTCGAACATGTGCGCATGTGCTCCGACCGGGGCTCACAGGACAGTGGTGGCTCCGATACGTGCTACCCCGCGCGCAGCGACACCTATAATCTGCAAGCAGGAGCAGGTGCGATGGGCTGCAGCCTGTGCATAACAGTATGGACAGATTGTTGGGGAGGAGTCATGGACTGGATGAGTTGCTCCCATCTACTCCCGTCCCCCGTTCTCAAACACATCATCTTGCGAGGGCACATACGCTGTACATCACGACCAGGCTCTTCTCTCTGGATATCGGTGCAACGGTCTCGGGGTGCTACATAGGCATGCTTGCGCTGTATCTGCGATATCGTCTTCTGTGCCGACCCTCGAGACATTCATAATCAGCCCCTTCGTGTCATCCTGACCGTGATATTTGGCCACAGTCAATGAGGGGCTTTATTCCCAACGACACCATCGTCACAGCCTTGAGTACGTAGTAAAGCGCACCAGGGCTCACCTGCTTCCCTGGACGATGTTTCCGTCAGGTGTACTGTAGTACTAGTAGGAGTACTACCGTTTTCTCGTTCGTAAATTGACTAATGAAGACTGCGTTTGGTATATTGTAAGGAAGGTATATGTACTCCAATGCCCGCCTAGCTCAATCGGATAGAGCGTGAGACTTTTACGACCTAGTGTCCTGTTTAATCTCAAGGCTGCGGGTTCGACCCCCGCGGTGGGCTTGCATGAATTTTTCGATGTTTTCCACCACAAGAGATTTGTTACGGCTCTCCACTGCTGTGGCTGGACACCAGATCATGGCCGGCGCCATCGGCAAGAATTTGCCAGTATCGAAGCTGAAGTAGTCCCGCTTGTTCTACCTCGTCGAGAGTTGCCACTCGTCCTCGGCTTTCGTCAAGACAGAAATCTGCCGGGGCAAGGCATCATCCATGATGTCCGACAGCGACCGTCCACGATATAGGCAGCATCAGCTGAGTCGCAACAACTCCCCTGAAGGGCGCGCAGGAGGGCTGCAAGAGCTCGGACGGTGGACCCGTCCCATTCGAATTCCTGTCCGAGTCCGAGCCCCCGCCGAAGCCGTCCATTGTCCAGAACCGGGAGCATGTTCACCGCCATGTTCACCAATTCGCTCACGTCCGTGATGCGTAGTACGTGCTGAAGCCCGGGGACGTCCCGTGCCCTGCGACGAGGGTCGACGTACCGCGTACGCACTGCTAGCGTGTACCGTGCCTAGCAGAAGACTCAGGCTGGGTGTATACGTCGCATTCAACGCGAGAGACAGTGTCTCAGCCACTGAGATACGGCGGAGCGTGTGTCAGTCGTAGTCGATGCTGTTGGAAGAGATGCTGTTGGAAGAGATGCTGTTGGAAGAGATGTGGTGAGATCTAGCGCTTGCCTATTTGTATGCGTCGTTGTTTGCTCAGTACTGCTAGTATCGGTGCTCTTATATCCTAGGAGTGCAGAGAGTACGAGTCTTAGACTCCAACCCAGACTTGAGGCGAATGCGGAGAGGGAAGAGGTGTAGACACTGTAGAGGCAAGGGGAGTAGACGCGTGCACCCGTATTCGGCCTCTTGAGCTTAGTAAGCCGTTGTGGCACTTCCCAACTGCGACGTTCGCGACATGCGGTGTATGGCACCCCATCTTGCGACGAAGACGAGAGCTCAGTACTCAGTAGGTGGGCATGCATGCATTAACAGGAAGGCAGGACTTGGTACGAGGTGAGAGACTTTGGCGGCGCGTTTGATTGACAGGATGTGACTACCGCTGTCAGACAGTGCCTGGTCGCCTTCCATACCACGCAGGAGAGCTAGTGGCGCCTGTGCAGACAACTCGAGAGCCTGAATATGGTGTGCAGCAGGTGTGCAGAGTCGGAGGAGGAGATGAGATGGTTGAAGAGAGGGAGGCGACGACGCGGTGGCGTGAGCGAGGCAAGACGCGTCGCGGTACGCGGTTGTGGCGTGGGGTCGTGTTAGGCGACGATGGGCTCTCACGGCCATGTTCGACTCTGGTCCTTACCCGACGTCGAACCGTGATGGCCTTCGAGCGACTTGACCTCCATCCTCTCTCCCCGCCGAGCCCCGTCCACTTCCTGTCTCTTCTCTCTCCTCTTCTCTGTACAACTATTCTCTCCTCACGCCCCCCATGATCCCTCCCCCTCAGTCCCCGTCCGACGCGACCGACATCTTCTCCATCTCCGACCAGGTCCTTGCCGACAGGCTCCAGTTCATCGAAGAAGTTCGTATCTCTTCAAGTTTCACGTAACTCGTCTCTCAAACGCGTTCCTCCTCCTCCCATCCTTGTAGATTGGCTTCGGGAACTGGGGAAGTGTCTGGCTATGCAGACCCAAGAGCGATTCGTCGTCCTCTCCGCTTCAAGAAAGCAAGATAGCCGTTAAGCTCGTCCATCGCTCCAAGACTTCCACCACCGCCGCTCGCGTTCGTTCGCTGTACGTGTCTTTCTCTCCCCCTCCACATTCCACGCGTTCATCCTCAAACTTTGCAGATGGAACGAAATGAAGGTCGTCAGGGCGCTGAAACACGAGCCTCACCCCTCCATCATCCCCTTCTACTCCTTCATAATCACCCCTTCATATGCCCTCATCACCATGTAATTACTCCCATCATCTTTCCCGCGCTAGACATAACCCCTCACGCTCTTGACCCATCTAGGGCATATCATCCCCGCCTGGTCACCGTCGAAGTCTCAGAGACCCATGCAAAGGAGTGGTTCCGTTCACTTCTCTCTGGCATCGACTTCCTCCACAAGCGCGGTGTTGTCCACAACGATATCAAGTAGGTCCCCCATCTTAAGCTGGCAATCTCCGATTGCTTCGATACTGACAATCACAGGCCCGCAAACATTATGCTCTCAAATGAAAACGTCCCCGTGCTCGTCGACTTTGGCTTTGCCGAACGCTATGACGTCCAATCTCCAGAAGCCTTCCATAGCAATCTGTCCTACGGAACCCCTGAAGTACGCCCCATTGCCCCTTCTCTTCATGAGCGCTCCCCGCTGACTGTATGCGCACCGTATCGCCTGCTCGCTCTAATACACGCACCTCCGGCTACTAAATGCGCGACTCACCTTCATAGTACCTCTCCCCGAACGCGCACGCGGTCTACCCCACGATACCCGCAAGTCCGACGTTTGGTCCCTCGGTGTGACCTTCTTCGAGATCCTCATCGGCCGGACACCCTTCGAGTACTCCGAGGGCGAACAATTCTCGACCAAAGAGGACCTCGAGAAGTACTGGTCGCGCACACTGCGTGGAAAGTGGGTTGGCACTTGGAATATGTCCAAGGCCATCGAGAAACTCCTCCGTCGAATGATACTCCCCAACGCCGACTTGCGTTGCAATGCGTCACAGGCCATGGAAGATCCGTATTGGACACAGACCGAAGTCCCAGGGCACGCGCACAGTGAGTTCACGCCATGCTGGAGTTGGTCTCGGAGGAAGCTGACCTGTAATTTGAAGGGAAATCGGCTAGCGTCTCGCATTCTCGTTCGACGTCGCTCACGTTCGAAGGTATCGTCTCCCCGTGGTCATCCCGCGCAGGTAAAGACAAGGAGAAAGAGAAGGTCAAGGCCAAAACAGAGAAGGAGAAAGACCGATCTACTGCGGTCGGCAAGGAGAACGCATCTACCTATAAGAAGGCGGCTCAGGCGGCTCCTGCGCGTTCTAGCCATGCGCGTTCTGCGTCGCAACCCAAACTTCATATCGCTGCTGACAGTGAGTCCCGCTTGACTTCAAGTCCCCCTTTCAGGATCTCACCGGTAATTCACTCGTTCCTAGCGCGCGGCGTCTCCCAGACGAAGAGGCAGCATGCCGTGCCCTCTGTGTTCTCCGCCTTGTCCCCGATCAAGCATTCTCCCCCGCCGGCGACGGAGACTTTTGCGGCAGCGTCCTCGAAGGGGAAGGAGCACGACGCCAGCAAGGCGCGCAGCACACGCAAGCCGCTCGGGCCACGCTCGCCTGCATCCTCGCCCCAGCTTGCGTCGCCGCCTGGCACGCTCCGCGGACATGCGTCGAAGGAGAACTCGCACGCCAGGCATGCGACCGAGAAGGAGCATGGCAGGGACAAGGACAAACGGAGAAGTCATATCCTGCGCGACGTGACTAGTGCACGCAAGCAGGACGAGAACGTGTCTGCGGCACGCAAGGCTGACAAGGAGAAAGAAAACGAGGGGGCGTCGAAGGCGGCGGACACGAGCAAGGACTCGGTGAGGAGCCGCATGAAGGAGTGGGAGAGGGAGCGCGAGCGGCTGAAGGAGCGCATGCGCGAGGTCGACGAGGAGCGTGACCACGAGCATGACGGCGAGCGGGAGCACGAGAAAGAGAAGCAGAGGCAAGTTGAGCTGGAGAGAGAGAGAGCGGAGGAGGAACAGCGCGAACGCGAGCGTGAGCGCCTCGAGCGGGAACGGGAGCGAATAGCTGCGCGCGAGCGTGCAAGGCGTGAGGGAAGCGAGCGGGAATACGTCCTGCCTAAGATCAGCGTCGGACCGGCTCTGACACCCCCTGAGACGGCACTCGCGTCCCCTCTGAGCCCACTGTTCGAAGGTGCGTACCGAGTTGAAACGACTGGGTCAGTCGGACGCTGACTTTGTCTCCTGCCGTCTCTGCAGAGCCCTCTGAAGAGCGGTCGGTCTCCCCACAGGCCAACGAGTCCAACATTAGCGTGCTCAAGCAGGGCCTGAGAATGTCTATCGGTGCGTTTGTTGAGCCTTCACCTGAGAGTGTGTCTTGATGAGATGTGCAGGCAATGCCGTGAGGTTGTACAAGTCGTCGACACAGCTGCTTGGGAGATCCACGCCCGCGCTCACTCTCGGCTCTGACAATGCGGACGACGAGTCTCGTAGTCTCAGCGAGCAGCCTTCATGGGATGACGAAGGTCAGTCCGTGGTTCTGATCCCGCGGGAGGAGGATGTTCATGTGTCGTGCAGAACGGCAAGAGCAAGAGTCCAGGATGGATCGAATGACGCTCTGGATCCAGAACGTGGAGAGTGCGTGATTCTCTACAGTAGGTTGTCAGAGACGAGACTGACGGAATCTGCAGAAGTGGTTGACGAAGCGCGTCAGAACTTCGCCGCCTCGACAAGTTCCGCCCCGGCTCCTCCAGCCCTGCCTCTCGCTCCCATGTCCTGTCGCTCATCCCACAGTCGCTCAGGACGGGGCAACCGCGTACCCCGCAGGATTCTCGCTGCAAACCAGATATTCTTGAACGAGTACGAGCCGGAGACATACCGCCACTCGACCGCGTTCTCCATGGACCGGAGCGTAGCGTCGATGTCGCCGCTTCCCAGCCCGTCGATCCTGAACACGATGAACTTTGCCGAGCACACGCTGCCGACGATCCCGTCCGAACAGCCGAGCAGGCTCTCGGAGTCTGACGCAGTCGACCGGTCGTACGCCGAGCCGCGGATACGCGGTAGCTCGACAGGTCCAAGCGCTGTGCTGCTCCCAGAGACTCCATCGAGAAAGCGCCGCGCAACGGTGGTGACGCGATCTCCCGAGGACAGACGGGCGATGAGTCTCGAGATCGACGTGTCCCCGTCGAAGAGGAGGGAAAAGTCGAGGAGTCATGGGGATCTGCTCAGGCCGATAACCCCAATCACAAAGCTCGAGTTCGAACTGCAGCGTCGTACGTCTTGATCGATCCCTCAGCATGATCGATGAGTTTGAGCTTTGGCTGATGGTTCTCTCTCTTGTTTGCAGTCGCGCA